TCCCATGAATGTCCGCTTAACGGAGGTTTCACTATATATATATATATATATACAGAGATGCCAACTGCTCCGGACACGCCAAAATTATTTAAGAAACGGTAAATAACTTCAAAGTAAATTTCGCAAATATTTGACTATTCATGCTTACTTTTTAAAAGGTATAGCAAGTCATAAGTGCCTTTAAGTGGCGAAATATATAAGCCAACGAATTATTTAGAAATAGTGGTGGATAAAAATCTACTAAATTGAATTAATTAAGCGAAAAATCACCATTGATAATCTACCACTTTAAAATATTTACTTTCTGTCCGGATTAAAAGGTGGCATCTCTGTATATATATATATCATCGGCTTAATATGAATAAATACCTTGTGGTGAATAATACTAAAGCGAGAATTTACAATTACAAATACCTAAAGCTGTTTTTCGAAGATTCTGTTGTTCTCTAAAATTATGCTTTTCTGCGAATAATAGGCTACTTTCATAACCGTTGTAAGTTTACAACAGTTACTCCGGACTGTTAAGTCAAGTTAAGTCTATTTATAGGAAGCGCTATCATGCTTTTTCTGAAAATGGTGCAAAACATCAATACGGAAAAAAGGCACAGTTTTGTGAAAATTAAATGTTTGTGATCTAAATTTTTAATATTTAAAAACTTTTTCTAATGCTGCATCATCGGGGCTCATGAAAGTTTGCAAAAACTGAGAATAAGGCAGTGATTTTGATAATTTTCATCTACGTGTGAAAATGTCGCCAAATTGGTGATTTTTAAAATTATAGATTTATGAAATTTAAAATTATTTTAAAAGTATGGTTTTGCTTGAAAAGGTACTTAAACTGTGGCTTTTTTATTTTTCTTGGTGAAAAGCTTTAAAAAAACATATTTAACTACAAACTTGGCACAAATTTTTTCCACAAATCTCGTACCACTTTCAAAATAGAAGTGTAAACTCGGTAATATTTCACAAAGTGATTCTGTAAATGGATTTATCATGTAGCGCATTACTGTTTTACCGTACCTATACACACACTAATTTAATTATTACAGTAGTTATCGTAAGTTAAGAAGGTATTTGCAAACTTTAGTCCGCAACATTTGTGTAAACGTTTTATTACGAATAAATCAGATGTATGTGTGAAACGTATAAAATTGTAATCAAATGTTTTATTTCAATCAGATAATGTGGAGCAATTTGATGAGTGTTTTCTTAGCATGATGGAAAAGGTTAGTTATTTTAAAATTTATTAATTACCTAATATTCTGTCTAGATTTGCATTTATTTTTTATGAAATTATTTTCGAAACTATGAGGGGAGAAATTTTGCAACCAAAATAAAGGTGGCCATAATCGGAAAAAAATTTAAAGTGGTGATAATTGATTTACAAAGTTACCTTTAATTTATATATTTTAATTTTACGTCAATTGTAGTAATTTCCTTGATTATTTGTAGGCAGGTACTTTATTTACGTCGCACTAGAGCAGTACAATGAGCTATTGGCGACGGTCTGAGAAGCATCCCGGAGGATGATCCAAAGACATACCATCACAATTTTGATGTTTTGCTGAGGGGATGAATATCCCGCTTTGGTAGCCCGAAGACCACTTTAAGGTAGAACAGTTTCACGAGGACCTATATTGCTTACCCTCGGTCCCCTTACAGGATTATCACTTACTGATCTCAGCCAATGATTCTTGACTTCGGTGTTCTACTAGGAACTGTGTCTTTACGATCAGTCTTCGAGATTGATTGTTTGTAACACAGATATTTTTATTTACATGTATTTTTAATCAATAAAACATTTTGTTTTCTTGATCTTTTTCTACCAATTTTTAATTTTTTCTTTCTGAAATGTAGCTACCCTGGAAATCAACTCCTGATAGTCTAAAATTACTATATTCAACAGTATTCTCCAGTTCCTAATTCTTTAGATGGACAGTAAAAAATCATCTCGACAATATCTATCTAAGATAGTATCTTGGTACTAATAGCAGTATATTTAGTATCGACTGAAAAAAAACAATTAACATAATACAGATAGAACATATTGCCAAAAATAATTAAGCATTATTTTCGTGATTTCTTACGGCCAATCTTGATGAATTAGCACGATATTTCTCTATTAATTTAGTTTTTTTAGTACGAAATTTTTTTTTCTATTTCAATTTGTACCTATTATCTAAATTAATTAAGCGTAATTTGTTCCCTATTTTTCTATGGTAATTTTGTAATAAATACATTTTTCCTATTAATTTTCCTTTAATACAAAACTTATTTTTCTATTTCAATTTGTACTTATTACCAAAAGTAATTAATTTTAATCACATATTTAATCACATTAATTTAATAACAATCAAATAAAATTAAAACTATCAATTATGATAGGAAAAAACTTCTCTAAAATTCTAATGGTGTCAGTCTTTCATTCTCAAAATGTTTTAAAATTCGAGAATCATGTACGAATTTTGAGGCACAAAAATTTACATATGTGCTCTAAAATTTGCACAAGATTTGAATTCTAATTCATTAGTGCAATAATAAGTTTAAAAATAAATCAATAAATACTTACTACGCATTATTATACTGTAGCATAATTATAATGTAGTATTGTTACATTCTTCCGTATTGTTATCATTTATCAAATCTCTGATAAATATTTATTCAGCATAATACAAAAAAATAAATAAATAAATATTTGTTACGCATTGTTATAAACTAGCATATTTTTTATCTTGTATTGCTATGTCCTTACGCATTGTTATCATTCACCGGAATGCTGATGAATGTTATTCAATCAGCAGAACATAAAATTCAAATAAATACTCATTAGGCATTGTTATAAACTAACATAATTTTTATCTTGTATTGCTATGTCCTTACGCTTTGTTATCATTCATCAGAATGCTGATGAATGTTATTCAATCAGCAGAACATAAAATAAATAAATAAATACTCGTTACGCATTGTTATAAACTTAACAAAATTTTTATCTAGTATTGTTATGTCCTTACGCATTGTTATCATTCATCGGAATGCTGATGAATGTTATTCAATCAGCAGAACNTTATTTTTCTATTTCAATTTGTACTTATTACCAAAAGTAATTAATTTTAATCACATATTTAATCACATTAATTTAATAACAATCAAATAAAATTAAAACTATCAATTATGATAGGAAAAAACTTCTCTAAAATTCTAATGGTGTCAGTCTTTCACTTTCAAAATGTTTTAAAAATCGAGAATCTTGTGCGAATTTTGAAGCACAAAAATTTACATATGTGCTCTAAAATTTGCACAAGATTTGAATTTTACTTCATTACTGCAATAGTAAGTTTCAAAATAAATCAATAAATACTTACTACGCATTATTATACTGTACCATAATTATAATGTATCATTGTTGTATTCTTCCGTATTGTTATCATTCATCAGATCTCTGATAAGTATTTATTCAGCATAATACATGAAAATAAATAAATAAATATTTGTAACGCATTGTTATAAACTAGCATATTTTTAATCTAGTATTGTTATGTCCTTACGCATTGTTATCATTCATTGGAAAGCCGATGAATGTTATTCAATCAGCAGAACATAAAAATAAACAAATAAATACTGATTACGCATTGTTATAAACTAACAAATTATTATCTAGCATTGTTATGTCTTTACGCATTGTTATCATTCATCAGAATTCTGATTAATATTATTCAATTAACAGAACGTAAAGAAACAAATGCTTGTTATGCAATGTTATATATTATAGCGTAGTTATAATCTAACATTGTTACGTTCATAATCATTATTATCATTGTCACAATTCTGATGAATGTTATTCAATCAGCAGAACATAAAAATAAATAAATAAATACTCGTTATGCATTGTTATAAACTAACATGATTTTTATCGAGTATTGTTATGTTACGCATTGTTATCCTTCATCAGAATTCTGATAAATATTATTCAAATATCAGAACGTAAATAAATAAATACTTGTTATGCAATGTTATGTAATGTAGCATAGTCATAATCCAGCATTCTTATGTTCATAAACATTATTATTATTGGTCACAATTCTGATGAATTTTATTCGTACAGCAGAACTTCAAAAAAAGACTCGTTGAATATTATTGTATCCTAGAGCAGTTATGATCTATATTTTTATGCATTATTACATTTCTACTGTTACATTATTTACATTTTTAGACTCAAAATTGGATGATTGACGAAATAAACAAGTGTGGCATGAGCCAAACTCTACCTTATGGGAGTATTGAATCATGGAGCGAAATCATATGCAGTATACCAATGGATGAATTGGTAATTTTATGTCCTAGAATTTTAATTGAATCTAACATAACTTATAAAAATTTAATTATTATGTCATATTACTTTAATTCGAATCGTCGTTAAAACAATTATATACCTAATTTGTTTTTAACAAAATTATTAATCTCTTTTTATTTACTTTAAAAATTTAATATTAGTGCCTTAGTCAAACTTCACATTAGCAACTGCGACCATAATGCATTTTTACTAGTGAAATTAATTTCAGTTCTCTCCGGTGTAGCATAATACGTAAACTAAACGTAAATTTTTGGAAAATTAGTAAAGTCAATACGTTTTTTACGCAAATTTTACGTAATTTTTTTTACAAAAAGCTTTAGTATATTTTACGTAATATTAACGGAATGGATTTTACCAGCAACCTTTCGGTAAAATTGCTTTTGTATATTTTACGAAAGAATATTTACTGTTCAGATTTAGTCAAAATGATTTGAGTAATTTACGTATTATTGACAAAGCAAATTTACCATTTAAATTTTCTATTTTTTGCATAACCACTTTATCTTTTAATTTGACGTTTTAACTTACATTCATGTTGCGTATATATTATGTAAAAATAACGTACTCTTTCTTACTTAGAAAAAAGTGGTCTGTAAAATACTCTTAAAATAAATGAATTTGTAAAAGCAAAATTTTATCTAAATTTTCCGTTTTTTGATAACCATTTTTCGCTACAATTCGATGTTTCAACTTACGTAAACTTTGACCAATTGTTGACGTAAACATGATAAAAAATTAAAGTACACATTCTTACTTTGAAAAAAGTGGTCGATAAAATACTCTTAAAATAAATTTGTTAATTTTCCGTTTTTTGATTACCATTTTTCTCTACAATTCGATGTTTCAACTTACTTAAATTTTGACCAATTGTTGACGTAAATGTCAACAATTGGTCAAAATTTAATCTAAATGTAAAAATAACGTACTCATTTTTACCTAAGAAAAAAGTGTTTGGTAAAATATACGTAAAAGAAAAGAATTTGTTTCCGTAAAATTTCCGTTTTTGGATAATCATTTTTTGCTATAATTCGATGTTTTAGTTTTATGTTAATTTTACGAATGCGTAGCAAAATTTAAATTTGAAATATACGTATTTCTGATGTAAATTTGATGCTTCTCTGCTACCTGGGCTATTGCTTTAAAAATAGTAGTTGCTAAAAAATTGATAAGAAGTTTCGAAACAAAAAGTTTTCCTTATTTATTGTTTTAAATATCTTTGAAATAGGTGGTCTAAAACTAAAACAATAGCATCGGGAAAAGTTGAACCCTTATCCAACACCTACTACAGAATTTCCCCATTTTTCAAGAATTATTTTTTCTTGTGGTAGAAATATGTTAAATCTATGCGTTGTTAAGGTACTTCTTCATAAATAATATTTGATAATAGCATACACTACTTTTTTCACAATTACTTTTATATTTCTTATTTCTTTCTTTTATACTTCAAGAAAAAAAATTCTAAGAGAAACGAAGATTATACTTCTGTATTATAGTACATCAGCTAGTTTTTACTGAATTCTTTATTTCTTTTTCAGGGGCCTTGTTACCAAAAAATTAACATCTTAATGATGGAACGAGTGGTGAGCTTTATTAAATTTATCTTTATTGGTTCGAATTTAATTACTTTTTATTTGCATGTATATGCAAATGAACACTCAGCGAAATTTAGGAGGAAAAAAAATTACTAACATTTTTGCGTTCAAGAAAAAACCTGATGAAATTTATGAAACTTATCACCTTTGCTGAACAATAAAGGAAAATTAGAAAAATTTATTAGATCTTCCACGCTCACATCACCTTTTCTCTATAGCTGAAAACCTCCATACGGTTTCTTTTAGGGTAGTCTGATTAGACCACTATGAAGGTAAACCAGTTTACGAAAGAGCCATTTTATACAAAGTATAGTAAAATTAAGAAAGTGGTAGCAAATATATTTCCACAAATGTGTTTAATTTATGAACATGATTGGTTTGTCTTATTTACTTATCAACCACCACAAATTTAATCCCCAACTATATATGATAAATTTCTCTTAGTTCTCATTTTTTGCTATAATTCGACTAGCTCAGGGCAGCAAATATATATTTTAAAGTGGTAGATTATCATTTGTGATTCTTGGTTTAATAAATTCAATTTAGTAGATTTTTATCCACCACTATTTCTAAATAATTCGTAGGCTTATATGATTCAGCACTTTATAAGTAGTTACATCAAACTCATTTGGAATGATCATATCAAAAGCACAATAGATGAATCAAATGCAGCAATAATAGCCATACAACCATTAATATATAATCAGAATATGTCACTTAAATTAAAGAAGCTACTATATACAGCAATGATCCGCCCAATCCTATGCCTCAACTGTTTGGACAACGATACCTCAACATCTACAGGAGAAATTGAACCAATGCCAAAATAAAATCCTTAGAAAAATAACCTGTGCAAGATGGTTCATCCGGAATACCAATATACATGCAGATCTGTAGTTTATCAATTNATCTTTAAATTTGAAAATTATATCAAAGATAAAAACTACAGACCAATAGCTGCACATTTCACCTCCGACGCCTCATATCATAACTATCAAAACAAATAATTTCATCAACCTTTCTGAAAATAACGTTTACTCATGCTGATACAATTCTGAACAACTCCAAAATCAAACAAACACAGTTTAGAGCAAGCTGCTCATTTTATTTTTTTATTCCTTTTTAGTTATTCAAGCAAAGTGCTTGAAACATTCATAAAAGCAACTCCACTGCCTGCTTACCTCAATGCTCAACTGTGTTAAACAGTGTTAAAATTCCAGATGAATGGGATAGGGGTCGCTTCGCGGCCCAGGTGTCCAATAAAATCAAAACACTAGGACTAGTAGTTATATCATGCTATACCTTTTAAAAAGCCAGCGAAAATAATCACATATTTATAAAATTTAGTTTGTAGTTAATTACCGTCTCTTTAATTATGTTGGCGTGTTCTCAGCAGTTGGCATCTCCGCTTTTAAAAAAAGAATTTGGGTTCATGCGCACTACTGGTTCACTTTTTAAATAATCTGTGCAGACTACTTATAAAAAACCGTGTGGAAGTTTTCTGATGTAGGAGGTGATGATTTGTATCGAAATTGTACCTAAACTTCGTAATGTGTTCTTTTGTTAAGGATAGATATGGATTAAAATATGTTCCTTTTTATAGAAAGAAATCGGTGGCGATCCTGATGCCGAAGAGGAGAGCACTGCTTTCGAAGGATGTCGAGTGAGTTTCTTTTCCAATAATATATGCAACTCATTTTTTTCTTATTTGCATGGAACATACCCATTTGTATAGAGCCTGGTAATTTCTAACTACTCTTACTTTTTGTCAAATATAGTCATTACTTCACTACTTTTTCGAGACAATCTTTGAAGAGCTTAATTCAAAATCCTTGTGAATAAAAAAAACTGACTTATTTAAGCATGCAAAATTATAAAGAAAAATGTATTATTGTTTATATGAGACAATATGAATTTGTTCTATCAACCTTCACCTTTTCATGTTTTTTTCGACATCGAAATTTGAGTTTAAGAAGCTCTACGAAATTATCAAATGTTTGTAATTTTGTTAAATGCTTAATGCTCTTTAATAAAAAATAACGTGCAGTGTGCCAAAAAAAAACGGACCACCCTGAATAACTTATGATCTAATAATCAGATCTTCATATTCTAGTTCTTAATCTTAATGGTTAGAGGGGCTGATTTAAAATATGCTTATTATTTAGTGCAGAAGATATTTCAAATAACGAAATAAGATACAAAAACATACTTTCTTTGAATAAACATACTTTTTTTCCCGACAGATTCGGATTTCTGCCACCACCCCCTCCCCAAAATATAGGGGGCAGCCGCAATCTGGTAAATATGATGTTAATCGTTTAGTCAGAAGAGCGATCCAAAATTTTGACTCCTTAAATATTAATTTTATTTTTTGTATATTTCGTTATATTTCGAGAATTTTTATGTGAATTGAAATTTTTTTGCACACAATTATAAAATTCGTTTATCTAAAGATAATTCCTTAGAAATAAGTAAATTTAGTAAATATTTTTAATGTTTTTTTTCAATAATAGTCGAAAATTTTTTAAATTGTAAGGTATAAAATTTTTTACTTTAAAGTATCTAATTTTACACAGCCAGGTGTAAATTAGATAACTAGGCCAATGGTAAGGGGATCATAACCCTTAATCCGTCTGCACTTGAGATATTTTATGTCAGGACTGTGGTCGGTGCGAGCCCACAGCAGAATTCGAATCGACCAGCAACACTAGGATCGAACCTGGGCATCACCTCCTACATCAGAAAGCCTCCACACGGTTTCTTAAGAGTAGTCTGCGCAGATTATTTAAAAAGCGAACCACTTGTGCGCATGACCCCAAATTCTATTTTACAAGTAATAGAGAGAAATTTATCATATATATTTGAGAATTGAATCTGTAGTGGTTGACAAGTAAATAAAAACACACCAATTATATTCATAAATTTAAAAAAATTTTAGGCATATATTTGCTACCACTTTCTAATTTTTAATAGATTTTATATTAAAGGGTTCTTTCCTTAATTGGTTTACCTGCATACTATCAAAATACTATTAACTTTATCACACAACTCTACTCAAGGTGATCTCCCCATTCCAAAGATGATTTTCCCTTCAAAACTAAAGATTTACTCCTTAAGGACTTGACTTGTTGTTGCAACATACTACAACTTCAAAGATATATAGGACCTCCCAGAATACAACAAAACAGAATCAATGAATCGGTTAGTGGCGCTTCGCGCCAAACGCCGAGATAACCCCAATATCCAGCATCCAGTAATTGGTTTACCTAGAGCCCAGAGATGCCAACTTGCTCCGGACAGCAAATATATATTTTTAAGTGCTAATTTATCAATTGTGATTCTGGGTTTAATAAATTCAATTTAGTAGATTTTTATCGACCACTATTTCTAAATAATTCGTTGGCTTAAAAGATTCACCACTTTATAGTTTTCATGTTATGTTATACATTTTAAAAAGAAAGCAAAAATAGTCAAATATTTGCAAAATTTACTTTGTAGTAATTTACCGTTTTTTTTAATTATTTTGGCGTGTCCGGAGCAGTTGGCATCTCTGAGAGCCCTTGAATTAGACAGGCCGACTCATCATCTATTTTTGCTCCAAGGAGTTAACATAAGCACAATACTAACATAACGTTAACTTGCAAACTTTTTTGCTCCAATATTGCTTGATAGGTCAGCTTTACCTTCATAGTGGTCAGATCGGACTACCTACAAAAATCCGCGTGGAGGCTTTCAGTTATTGGAGGCGTTGACCTGGGTCATCTTATTGGGAGGCGAGCTCTCTACTACCATAGCCACTGTTGCTCAGTGCGAATATGTACTTGAAAACTTATATAAACTTCTATAATTTGTTATTACATATTCTATAAACATTTATTTTTAATTAAATTGCAGAAATGCATGGAGCCTAACATGAGTTACTGTACTATGTTTCCCGATTCATGCATGCCGTAAGTTTGCTTTTAAATTTTTATTTTAGAATATTTTCATGTTGAACCTCTTCGAGACGGGCGAGTCATATATGCATTCTCAGGGTGTTGATAATCAGGGTAAAAAAGATAAAACTGGTAGCCAAACTATTTTTTACAGCAGTTTATTTGTGGGCGGGGTAATAATAGTTTGCTTTATTTAATTCACCACTACTTAGTTTGAATTAAAAGACTTATAGTTACACTTTTAACACACATGGATTGGATGTGTTAGATTTAAAGTGAATGCAAAAGGAAGTGTGTCAAATTAGCTATGTCCAAACTTAAACTACAGCTTTTTATATTTTACGATTCTGATTCTGTACGAATACATTTATGCCTCGCCTGTCCCAAAAAGGTTACGGTTAATATCAAATTCATAAATTAAGAACTTTACAATGATTTTAATTCAAATTTAACTTTGAAACATACCGAGTAAATTTAAAAAGTTAGTACTTTTAGCTTCGGCTGCTGCCGGCCGAGTGGTTAGCGTGCCTTACTGCGAAGCGATAGGCTGCGGGTTCGAATCCCTCTCTAGGCATGGATGTTTCTCTCTCTCTTTGTGCTGTCCTCTGTTGTGTGTATGATGTGTGAATGTGGCCCACCCTATAAACGGGTTTGTGACAGTGTGGCATGGGCAATGTTGCTCGACTCCGTGACTTTGCTTCACAGGTGCCCACTGGATAACGCGAAATGCGCAACAATTCTGGCATAGTATAGGCAAAAGATTTAAATTCAGTGCCTACCATTGGAAAAAAAAGCTTCGGCTGCTAACGATGACAGATCTACTTTACCCTTTCCGGAGCGCGATTTTCCGATCCAGCGGTCTTTAACGACCTGCTACATTTTTTGGCATTTTTTAACTGAAAAAACTTGATATTTGACTTTAGTTCCGGTAATAAATTTAACAAGAAATTAAAGTTTTAATTATAATTGCTTTGGATCAACTACACAGCCAAAGGAAATATCTCCATAAAAGAAAGCGAATCGTTAAAGGCCACTGAATTGCAAATTGTCTCCCGGTGCTGCGTAGTCAGTCTTGCAACAATTATTCAACAAATGTTGAGAACCAATATAAATATAAATCTATTTGTTTTTCAAAGTTTATCAACCACTATTCTTGAAACATCAAAAAGCTAAATTATGTCACTTCACTTAATGTACTGTCTGAGGTCACACTTGTTAATGTTTTGCCGGACTAAAACTTTTCAATCGGAATTAGCTGTTCCAGAAAGGATTACAATATGTCTTCATATTTTAGACAACCAGAAAAAACAGTCTAAAAATTGCTTTAAAGCTATTATTTTCAGTACGAAACTTACACATCAAAGAATGAAACGATAAACTTCATACCTTTTAATGTTAAAGTTATGTAAAGTTGTCTTATTAATTCTGGATTGTATCTATGAATTAATAAGGCTGCGTTACAGATGTGATATAGCATTTTGTCTTATGAAGTATTATACCATTAACTCCTTGACATACGAAGACGTCTGGGAGACGTCATTGGTTTCTTATGTCAAAACAATAATTGGCGTGTCTCAGACGTCTTCAACACAGTGATGCCAACTTGCTCCGGACAGCAAATATGTATTTTAAAGTGGTAGTTAATCAATTGTGATTCTTGGTTTAATAAATTCAATTTAGTAAATTTTTATCCACCACTATTTCTAAATAATTCGTAGGATTGTACAATTCACCACTTTATAACCGTTATGTCCTGTCATACCTTTTAAAAAACAAGCAAAAATAGTCAAATATCTGCTAAGTTTAGTTGGTAGTTATTTATCGCTTTTTTAATTATTTTGGCGTGTCCGGAGCAGTTGGCATCAACATTCCGTTGCGAGTTGTTGTTTACAGTACAATCAAAGATAATTTCTATATCTAGAAATGATAGTCAAGGATATCTAGAAATGATGTCAAGGGGTTAAGTTAAAAACAACACACAAGATAACTTGCTTATTGTAATTTCATAGATATAAAACAAAAATGCGTCGTAATGTAGACGCTGCGTTAGGTTGGTATGAACTAAACAACTCTTTAGCATGTCGACACTAATTTATGCGAAATTTTATACTATGTAGTTTGCAGCATGCGTGACAGTACTGTACAAAGAGGTTAAAATAATTTGCACGAAAACTTTCATGGGCCAGGCACGCAATTTTTCGAAACAATTTTTATTTTTTTAATGAATGTTACCGTTTTTTTTCCTATACAGTTCCGTTTAGTAGTGAAAGCTACAATCTTTGCTTAAAATTAGTATGAGAGTTTAACTGTTTACTAAATAAAATCTAATTACAAAATTTAGTATTTTTTACCAATGGTGATTTATATCGTGATGTCATTTTCTGAAAAATCTTTGAAACTCCCGAATGTGTCCTGTAAATAGTTTTGTTATTAAACTCTAAGTTTTTAAAAGCTTAGTTTGAATTCCGAAAAGTTTGAGCTACTAAAAATAATGAGTACCGAATCTGTAATATAATCTAACCATGTGTCCTGAGTTACATTACATTTATACATTAAATTTGCACTTAACTTCCAGAATTTTAATTAAAATTATCCTTTATTGTAGAGTGGGAAAATGACGTTCCGAGAAAACTTGAAGACAACACTAAAGGTAACTTTAATTTAAAAAATATTACAGATTTATGATGGAAAAAATATGATTTTTTGCGTTTTCTTCAGTATATTCTTCGTCTAAAATCTTATTAAAGAAACTTAGCTACCTTCTTGATACCTTTTAAATAGCCAATATAAAGATCAGTGTCGACTTATTACAATTAAAAGCCTTACAACATATTTATATATGCGACGTCTTCCTAATGGCACTTGATTATCCAGATCCAGCAAATTTGAGAGTTAAAAACCAAATGCTGACACATATAAGTTAATGTCCTAGCCATTCCTTCGACATTAAAAGTCTACCCATAAATGTATATATGCGACGTTCTACCTGTATGTCTTCCTAATGGCTTTTGATTAGCCAAATCTTTGAGACTGACGGTTAAAAACTAAATGCTGACACATATAAGTTAATCGGTTAACGCCCAGCGTCATATATTTAGGACAGTTCCTTTTTTCAAAGACATTCATTGTGGTGGGAAACTTTTTTCAGAATTTTCATTTATCTGGGTGAATTAAAAGATTCTCAGATACCACAATGATTTAGTTATTTCTGACTAGATCTAGAAATAAAAGGAGCAAGTACTTTTTGATCCATCAAAGACTTTTTGAATGCCCTAACAGTAGAAAAACCAATTAATTTCGATAATATATTATACCACCTTTTCCATAAAACCACTTCTTATATGATTTCAATATATAAAGTCGGGACAAAACGGGTTAATGTCCTGGACATTCCTTTCAGATAAAAAGATTTCCTACAAATGCGAGGTTCTACTTGTATGTCTTCCTAATGGTTTTTGATTAGATAGATCCTGCTAATTAGTGAATTAAAAATCAAATGTTGACATATATAAGCAAATTTCTTTTAAAAAGCTTTTTTTGTCGGTCGAAGTTTTCCCTAGATATATTTTTAATAGCATTAAGGTTACCAAATCCAATCATGTCGTGGTCGAAAACCGATTACGACCATTTCAAATAAAAGCTTAGCTTCAAATCATTAACCTTAATGATTAATATAAGATATATTTTAAAAATAATATATTAGGCAAATATATCTTACCCTTTATTTAGAAGCACTCTGAGGTAAGCTTCGACAAATTAACTTATTAAACTTGTTATATTTCTGTTAAATTATTCAGTAGATCGGAGTCTTCATACCGATTTTCGATATAGATGGAGCTTCACAAGGCCTGCCAAAAATATGCAAATGGTGGCAAACAGCAGTCGCTACCCCGATTTCGCAACAACTTCAAATTAAATAATATTCAATTTTGAACTGAAGGTGCATTTGGGGTACCAGCCTCCACCCGGTTTTTTATAGGTAGTCCGATCAGACCACTGTGAAGGATATCCACATTCCGAACGAGTCACTTAATATAAAATCTAGTTAAAATAAGAAAGTTGTAGCAAATATATGACTAAAAATTTGTTTTATTTATGAATATTATTGGTTTGCCTTATTCACTTGTCAACCACTACAGATTCAATTCTCAAATATATATGTTGAATTTTTCTCAATTACTTTTGTAAAAGCTTTTGGGATGCGCACAACTGGCTCTCTATTTAAGTAGTCTGCGCGGACTACTTATAAAAGACCGTGTAGAGGCTTTTTGATGTAGGAGGTGATGTACAAGTCCGCTAGGAGGACATTTATCTGCTTCATCTGTAGTAAAGCACTTGTGCAATGGAGATACTGGCAGAAAGCAATGGTCAGCGGAGAAGTGGTAGCGGACAATGAGTTCAGACCTATGGTCTTACTTCTATCTAGGAAAAGATATTCATCTAACATGTATCAGACTTCTATATGTACAACAAGTTTCCGAATTTTTGTGTTGATCAATAAAATTTTAAGACCCATTTTTAGAAGCAAGAAATATAGCTTAAAGTATAAATTGTGCTACCACTTCAATGTTTCTGGAGGACCTTAGGGAACTCTATCTATTAAAAATCGACTCGAACTTTTCGGAAGACCCAATACTATAGTTCAATTAAATATAAGACAGAAATATTGAAAAACCGAAATGTTATTTTTTGCGTGTGAGCTGCAATCGCTGTAAAAAGCCATTTAGCTTATCGAAGTTAAGTATATATACTTTAGCAGAGGTACATAGTTGAGTAGTCGCTGTTATGATATACTTGTGGAAGATTAATCTTCCACCCCTATCACTACACCTTTATTTCTTTTTCATTATTTTCCGATTTTTTTAAAATTGATAGTTAGTAGCTCTTACATAAATACTAAGTCAGTTAATTTTTTTTCCTTCTAACATTTTACATTTAATGTAGCTTGTTTTGACAGTTGGAAAAATGTAAAGTACGCAAAATAAAAAACTGGCTACTCTGAATAACATTACATCGAATGATCGGATTTTCACGTTCTAGGAGTGAATCTTGAAGGTTCGAAGAGGGTGACTTCAAATTTGCTCATTAATTAGTGCAGAGGATATTTCAAATTACGAAATCAAACACAAAAATGTAAATTTCTCTCAATAAACATTCCTTTTTCAGACGTATTCGAATTTCTGACCCCCGAAATGTTGGGGGTAGCTGCAATCTGGGAAATATAGTCTCAATAGTTTGATCAGGAGAGCTGTCCAAAGTTTAGAAACCTTAATGTTAATTTTACTTTTTGTGTATCTCACTTTTGTGTATCTTACTTTTTGTGTACCTCGAAAAATTTTGCATATAATTATAAAATTCTTTTATCCAAAAATAATTTTATCCAAAACATAACTTTTATTCCTGTGAGTAGAATTATATGTTTTTACTCGAATCATGCGTTTCTAATAATCTTGGCTTCGGCGGTCACCGGTGACCCCGTGGTGCTACGGACAAACTCAGTGCCGATCACCGGTGTTCCCATGGTATTCAACGTGTTAACAATAGCCGAAAAAAAATATGAATCATATGATATACAATTTTAACATTTCTTTTAAAAAAGGCAAATTTTAATGGAAAATACAAAATTTTAGCTAAATTATTCGAATAGTTTCTGAGAAATCGAATATTAAAAATAATCTTCGGAATAATTAATTAGCATATTTGTAGTCTCCCCTTAAGATTGTTTTCTAGAGCGTGAAGATCCGATCAGTAGATCAAAATTTATTCAGGGTGGACCGTTTATTTCTTTGCGAACTGTACAAAACTGCTGATTTACTTATTGATGAGAAAAATTAAGAGTATAATTGTAGTTCTCTTTGATTTTAATTTTCAGATATCAAGCAAGAATAAATCTCTTAAAAACCTCTACTCAAACTTTAACGTCACGGAATTGTCATGCTTTTTCATTTAAGCAGAATAAATATTTTGTATCAGTGTTTGTGTTTATTTATTTTATTGTTAAAATAGATGGTGATTTCTATCAAATAGCATTTTAAAGTAATCAAGAAAATAATTAAAGAACTTTATGCAACGTTTGATATTAAATCTAAGGTCATAAATGCAAAATAATAAGTTAGATTACACGTTATCGTAAAAACAGCGATCGAGAACCACAGATGTCATTGCAAGTTACTTGCTTTTGCATGGGAAACATAATTCAAAAAGTATGTCAGAAATATTTTCAATACGAATCATATACCTTAACACGTTCACGCCGGGTTGACCCACCGGTGGGTCACGCTAGATTGTCTCATCCGGCGTCGGACCGGAGTAAAAACTAGTAACAAATAATTTTCATTTTTTTTCCGGGAATAATAAAAATCCATAACTACAAATTGTTTTTAACCCTAGGTTTACGGAACACGTCATTTTGACGGATTTCGACTTTTGTAAGGAAAATTATAAAATCCTTTGAATTTTTATTTTATCTCTTCTAATGACTTTTAACCATTGATCGAAGTAAATATATATTAAACGCTATTTACCTCAAAAGCGTTGAAATATTGAAATTCTCTGTGTGGTATACCTATTTCTGCGGATATGCGTCAATTTGACGCGATCATAATTTAGACAAAAGTTTAAGTAAACAAGCAATTATCACATCAATAATAAATAGGAATGGACCCACAATATTTCGATTCGTTATCTCAAATAAAACAAGTGATAAACAACTGTTGCCGATAAGCAATAATAGAAAGAACAAACGCAGAATGTCAATTGATGTCAGAGTGTCAGATTTTGAAGGTTTCGGTTGCTTAGTTCGAGTATTGAAACATAAAATACTAGAATATTTCATAAATATATATCTCATTTTCTTCCTTATAATATATACATATACATTGGTTTCTAAGTGCAGAGATGCCAACTGCTCCGGACACGCGAAAATAATTAAAAAATGGTAAATAACAACAAAGTAAATTTAGAAATATGAAGTGGTGAATTATATAGGCCTTCGAATTATTTAGAAATAGTGGTGGATAAAAATCTACTAAATTGAATTTATTAAATTAAGCATCACAATTCTTTCATACGTCAAATTGACGTGTGTCCATAGAGATAGGTATATAAGAAACGTCCGTAAACCTAGTGTTAACGGATGCAATTTTTATATAGAATTGCTTCTTCGCCGTAAAAAATTTCCTTACAGTGAATTCGTATTGTTGAGAATAGATTAACTCCTCCCTAATATTGAAATAGTTCTTCCACCAGTACTTTCTTTTATCCGTCCCGCTTTCAGGCGCAACACCGGTGTGAACGTGTTAAACCAACGCCTCCTGTAACTGAAAGCCTCCTCACGGTTTTTATAAGTAGTCCGATCAGACCACTGTGAAGGATATCCACTTTCCGAACGAGTCAAATATTACAAATCTAGTTAAAATAAGAAATTGGTAGCAATTATATGACTGAAAATTTGTTTTATTTATGAATATTATTGGTTTGCCTTATTCACTTGTCAACCACTACAGATTTAATTCTCAAATATATATGATAAATTTCTCTCAATTACTTTTATAAAAGGTTTTGGGTTCATGCACACAACTGGTTCACTTTTTTAATAGTCTGCGTGGACTACTTATAAAAGACCGTGTGGAGGCTTTTTGATGTAGGAGGTGATAGTTAAACTCTTTGAACATACTGTAAAATAATTACGTAACTTTTTCTAAAGGGCTACTTTGTATCAAAGTGATTTTTGAATCGATTTTAGATGGAATTAGTAAGCCGACTATCGTGTTTTTCGCACACCTTATCTTTGAAGATATGTTCTCACGTACTTCGCTCTATACTAGTCCTCACAAAGGTGTTAAACGCTACGATAAGACGTTAAACATTCTGGGGAAAGATAAACAAGTTAGTGACAGCATTCATAGAATAAACCCAGCTTATATCTTAAACGAAGATCCAGAATATATTTCTGCGAAGTTCAAACTAACTCTTCATTCGGCATAAAATCGCCAGACCAATAAAGAAGTCAAAGAAAAAAGATATTCGATTCCTCTTCTGATCCTGTAGTTAAAGTAAAAACTAGAGACGTGTGCAGTTCCTAGCTAGATACAACCTTTATATACATTATTAATTTTTTTTTCAGGAAGGGGGGATGATGTGACGACATTTATTTTGAGACGCTTATTTTTCAAATTCACTCAATCACAAAATGTTGAAGTAAATTTCGCTATCAACAAATGATACATAATTATGATGGCGTTCGAATCAGACTTGGCCTTAGAAGTCTGTGTCTTAATAATCTTAGTACTTTTATAAGCCAATATGAGTTTTGCTTTCAATCAATTTAATATAGTATCTTATCAACCAATCTAATCTAGTATTTTATTCTTAATTGAACGACTTTTAAACGGTGTGACAAGTCTTTAATCAAATGAATCGGTTAGTTGTCTAGTAACAGGAAAATGTTTCAAACATTGCAGTTGGGACCTTTTATATATACATTAATT